CTGAATTAATTTATTTGTCAATAACTATAAGCCAGAGCCAGGTCACCGTGAAACAATCGGTGTAATTGAGAGTGAGTTAAGACCCCTAGCTTCCTGACAACTGTAAAACAGCTTTTATTAATATTTCTCACGCTAGCTGGTCATTAGGCCCCCATCTCGGATAGTCTAGTCGATACCCTCATCTGTCAACCGGATTTATTAAACTGTTCTTTCTACTTACACCAAGATAGGGTCTAACTTATTCGCCATTTTAAAAGGAGGCTCTCAGAAGAGGACATTAAAAGATAAAAGGAGTGAACATTATGTCGCCTCTGAGTCACCTGTAATGTTGGCCAACTTGTTCGACACAATAAATAGTAAGGCGAGGAATAAAGTCGTGAAATATAAGTTTTTTGACAAATATCAAAGAAATGTATATATATATATATATATATATATATATATATATATATGTATATATAAAATATCGTTTCATAGTTCTGGTTCGAAAAACAAAACTCATGCAATTATTTATAAATTTGAGAGTATTCTTACGAGAGTATTCAAATCAACAAAATATAATCAATATATTATTTTGCTTTATTATTTTCAATAATGAACAATTGTAATCGTCCAAAAATTCTAAAACGTGACCCTCCTCAAAATTTTTAGGTTCTACGTTTCAGAATACGTAGAATCCAATAATAATCCGTGCTAATATTTGGAAATAAACCATTGCGTTTTTTTTTTCAACGACATGGAGGCTTAAGATGCCGTAAAATCCGATTTAAATAAAAAAATCTGAATTGTAAATGTAACAATTACTTCAAAGGGTTTAAAATTAATTAAAAAATTTAATTTGTTTGATTTTAAGAATGAAGCGTCCGTAAATGTATGTAAAATCATTATCTAACTTTTTTTTTCACATTATTTTATTGATTAATATTAAATATTGTCACAATTAAGGGCCTTTAAATATAGGAGTAGCTTTCTATGTGCAATCAATAAAAATAAATTAAAAACCAAAATAATAATCCTAAAAGTAAATGTATTGTATATAGGCGTATAAAAGTATGTACAATATTTAAGAAATTCATTCACTCAGGAGAACTCCGAGCCAATCCTTTCCTCCCAATGCTAGAAGGAAAAGCATGACTATAGCAGATCCCAACGCCTCTCGCTCAGCCGCATTACTGTTGTTGTTATTTAGGGCTTAGAAGCGTAAAATCCTGAGTTCGCCTACCTAATCTTCATTCCAATAACAAGTAAAAAAAAAAAAAAACTCCAATTTAAATTTTGTTTAGCAAATCGCTATATTTAAGAAAATTTATTACCGATCTTATTTTAAATTCGTCATTATTTAAAACTACTTATAATTTTGGTAGGAGTCCTGATTTGGCTAGAATTGATATGTAATATGGACACTCTTAGAGGATGTGAGCTTCCTCTTCTTTTTAAATATTTGATTGACAGAATCCCGTAATTTTCTTATTCATTAATTTTCCCTGGTTGTAAAATAATAATAATAACAAATAATGGTTTATTTGTTTATGTGCTGATTTTTTACATAAAACACTAGCGCAGAATTAGATTAAACAATTTTCGACGTTTTTATAAATTGTTAAATTTGTGAATTTAATCATCGAATTACAGTTGAAAAATAAAATATTGCTGACCATCATAGCCATTCCTAAAGGAGGTAAATTTAACATACTTATCTGTTAAAACAGTTTAACTATTTCACACTTCAACAAATATATATTTAGTTTAAACTTGGAAAGGAATGAAATTGATATTTTTATAGCTTTTATTTGTTCAACTCAAACAGCTGTTAACAGCTCCTCGCTGTGAATTAATTGCCAGGCGAGGTTAAGCCGTTCTAGTGCTTTACAGTTCAACTTTCTTTTCATTTATTGTAGGCATTATTGCACAGCTCCTGAGATAATTATTATTACAGGTACAATTAGTTAGAGACGGAAGGCGTTATTGAGCGTCTTTACGAAACGGACATAATTGAATTTGTTATAATAACTCCGGCTCATAGATGCCGAGGAATGGGGTCAGGCTCAATCTAAGGCGGGAGCACTTAGGGCAAAATGAGACCGACGATAGAAAGTAACGGAGAATGAAAACCATTTAGGAAAGAAGAAAAAAAAAAAAAGCTCAATTAAGTTATTAAAGTGAATTATATAAAGGGAGAGTAATTACAATTAGCCATTGTGCAACACCTTTTCAAAATGAGATTGGCCCGGGCAATTGAATAGAATAGAAACCGTCTGTAATACGCTGCAATGGTTCCATCAGTAACCGTTAAAAAGTAGCATTTTAAAGAAAAACTATTACACAATAATAGACATATAACTCTTTGTAATTTCTATCTTTTGTTTTATTTATTATTTTTTTTTTTTTTTTTATTCGTAATCTCTTTTTCAAAAGATTTGTATCGATATGGTGTAATTTTTAATCTACACCATGTATCATACGGTGTAATAGATCTCTAGCCCGGCTCTCGAGAGTGATAGATTTTGATGAATAAGATTCCAAACAAAATAGCATTTAATGGAGAAGAGATGAAACCCATTTTCGATCCTTAAATTTTTGTAACAACTCTAAAAAAAGTTATCTGATAACCAACCAGATAACCAAACTCCAAAGGAGCTCAACCGATTCCTGCGTTTTGAAACTCTAAAATGTACAGTTTATAATTAAATTTATATAATTTTAATTAAAATTTATATTTATGATTGTCTTCGACGAACTAAAAATCTATTATGAAGGTAAATGGAGGAGAAAATATCTGTGATCTCTTTTGATATTTTTAACATGGCTTCCTTTGTCGTAAACCTATGAACTCCATCCTACAGTACTTTAATAATAATACAGTTATTCCCGTTGAACAAATCCGATACCTAGTAATCCTCATACGAGACTGAAACGACAAGAAACTGCTCGACGTTTCCGCTTACTTCAACAATTACTAGACAAACGATCTAAGCTTTCAATCAATTACTCATATACATGAGTATAATAAGACCTATTTGGACTTATGGAGTTGAGCTATGGGGCTTCAATAAACCATCGAATTCCTCTCGTATTCAATCCCTACAATCCAAAATTTCTCCTTACTTTGTCATAAATAAAATAATCCCTAAAGACCTTAATGTTCCATATGTTTCAGATTTGGAACCAGATACCTATCCTTCAATAATAAACTTCATAACCATCCGAATCCTCTTGTTTCTAATCTTGCTTCCTGTTCGATTCCTGATAATCCCCCAAGGCGTCTGAAAAGAAGATGGTCACGTGATCTCCTTCTGGAAACATAATATTAGAGTGCTACCAGTGGGTAATTTCTCAACAAGAGTTTTCATCCCATCATATTTCTGTGTACACATTTACTTTATGTATTTATATTAATACAGTTGCAAATAAAATAAAATTTAAAAAACAAAAAACATGGCTTGAGTACGAACCAAACAAATAGTACTTGAAAGAGTACAATAATGGATTAGTATAAGGTCCAAGATAGCTGTGTATTCATATCTTACTATTAAACTAGATGGATATTTTCCGATAAGGCAATCATTAGCATTTTAAGTAAGTTGTTACTTTAACCGCAGGCACAGATTTTCGATTTTTATTGGGGGGCGATGGACCAAAAAAAAAAAAGAAAAAAGAAAAATGGCGATGGTTTTTATTATGTTTAAATATTCAAAATAATTATTGTGAAACTAAAAAATATAATCTTGAATATTTAAAATTAATTTCTTTATAATCTAAATATAGTATATAAATATTAATATGAGAAGGAGTTAGTCGGGGGGTGCGGTCAAATAAATATATTAATTATTTTAATTTTTGCCGACGTTTCAATATTAAAATAATTAATAACGTTAATATTAAAATAATTAATATATTTTAATTTAGTATTTGTTTGACCGCACGCCCGACTAACTCCTTCTCATATTTTATCAACGGTCAACCATCTCTACATCATAATTATTAATAATTAACAATTAATTATGATGTAAATATATTATGTTTATATAGTCGTAAGCATATTTTTTGTTTTACTTAATATATATAATTGAAAAAACATTTTAAAAAATACAATTGATTATATAACGTATTTGTTTAAATTAAACACAGGAGATAGAGTAGGCAGCATTCGTACATTTCTAGAACTTTTTCGGTAAATAATGAATAATGTGAAAATTTGAAAAATATTTTTGGTTTCTTAGTGTGTACAACCTCAAATAACGCTTTTCACAGTCCGACTTGTTTGTCACGGAAAATATCATAGGAATATCACATGAATCGAAAGGTGATTGAATCATAAAATCCTAGGATATGTTGATATAAATTATTGCCTTTGAATATAAATAAAAATTTAAATCAAAGTAACATTTAGATACTTATACAATAGTAACATACCTACTTCTGGGGACTTTAGACAAGCCAGCCAGTCGACTTTTCTTAATCAAGTTTAGTTTAAACATTTTATTCAATCATATAGCTTATTTATTATTGATTTTAATTTTGTTTTTTACCTCAAATTATTGAGGAGTGGAGGGGGGGGGACGATATTTTCGCCCATCAACATTTCTATTGGGGAGTAGGGAGGGGAGGACGATTACTCCGTAGTCTGCACTTAAGACTTTAACAATATTGATAAAGTATGAAACATCTGTTTGTCAAACAATTGTCTGTTTTTAATAGACTTGAAAATATTAAATTGTATATACGGAAAAACATGTATGTGGCTTATACTTATAATGGATTAGAGAGATTTAATCTGAGAGTTCTTGCTGGTGTATACTGGTACTTTATAAGTGCTTATACGTTCCTTTCCCAATAAACCGATCCGCATAAAGCGAAAAATGATTTTTCATTTATGAGAAATGAATTTCCCTAATAAAATGCCAGAGCGCTGGGACAGTGAGAGGACTGGGCAAGAGACACAGCGAGGACTGTTGTATTATTCAATTCCACGGTACTGATTTGTGGGGTATCATCGTCGGCTACGTGATCGTCCGCTGTCGTAATTGAACCGTCCGTCCGCCCTCAAGGTCTGGAACTCGTCCTGGAGCTTCCATGGTATCCTCCATAATCGATTCTGGTGTGATCCTGTATATTTTTGAGTAGAGATAATCATGAGATTCTTGTGATATGCCCTCCGGAAACAACACAAATCGGAATATTTTATACAAATAAATACTAAATACACAGATTAACTGAAAAAAAGTCAAGCTAAGAAAACAAAATTGTTGATCCTAACAGAGGTCCTTTCAAGAAGAGGGTATCATAGCGCCTTAAAAATTTTTGAGGGGCGGCACATTTTGATGGGGTTATGAATTTGGGAATGAAAACTTTCAAACCAAGGGAGAAGGATGAAACAGAGAACAGCATGAAGTGTAATTATATTTGATCTAAAGTTTTTTTAAATTCTACTTTTGCTTGCATTGTTTTCAAGAAGAGAAGAACAATAACAATATCTTGGGAGGGAAGAGGTGCGCCATCAAACCTTGGGAGGAAGGGCACCTCTGGATCCTAATAAAAGTTTTAAATTATTAGAATAATATTATACTATTGAAAAAAAAAATCGTACTGAAAAATTAACATCAATTATTCATAAAAATGCGGCACAGTCAATGCTGATCTTCTTCATAACTAAGCCACATTGGATTCATAAAATAGATTTCGAGTATTTATTCTAATATATACGAAAATGAAAAATTAATTCCTCGTCCAATGTGTACTTAAAAAATATTTGGTGGTAATTTTTATAGAAATTAACATTGATTAATTGAGCGCGATAGCTTGATTATGGAGTATGTGAAAGAATAAATTGTGCTTACAAGAATGTGAGGTTGGGGATTGACGGATAGAGGTGGATAAGATATTTCTGAAGGAGGTTGCACGAATGACAAAATATTTTGCGAATGAAGAGATTTTATTAGGGGGAATATATAAATCAATATGTTGAGATCTTGTGTTAAAAGAGTGAAATATAGAACGCAGAACGAGCAGTTCTAGGATATAGGAGGATCTGGTAGAGAAACACGTCTAGGATGTATTATAAACGTAAGCAGGATAAAGCTTCTTTAACTTGGTATAAAAACAGGAAAAATGAGGCTGGAAAACTTGAAGGTGAATCTTATGAAGCAGTTCAAAACTCTCTTTAGTCGCATTTTTTAATGGGCAACAGATGTAGACCAAGCAATTGTAGTCGAAGCAGTAAAAATGGGAGTATAATAGGAGCTATCAGGTATTTCGAGAATGGAGTAATGGAATTTAAAGAATTGTTAAAGAACAGTTATGGATTTTCGTGGGATCTGGAAAATATGGTTGTTCCAGGAGAGGTGCTGATCAAACTCCGAGGTTTACTACAGTAGAACTAAAATGAATGGTTAGATTATTGAATTACAGTAGAGAGAGAATTAGTTGCCTTAGTTTTATTTCAATATTCAGCCTCAATTCATTTTATACTTACCATCCATTGCAATTATTATCATCTTCTAGCTTTTGGTGACCTCTTGCATCTCGGAATGATTGATATATTTGAAAATCATATATAAATAATTAATAATTAAGCGTATAAATAATATTATTTGGGTAACATGTAGGTTCTAATTCACTTCTTTCCTACCAGCTTCAATTCAAATGCACATCGGTAGGAACCTCGTTTTCGATCTGAACATCAAATACCATTTTCCTCTTATATAAAATAGAATACATTATATTTCAATAACATTTAAAATAAATGAATTTCTCAAATCAGTAAATTACCACATTTTCATTTGAGATCGATTAAATTCTGGTAACTCTATAAGGAAAGACAGAGTAACCACTAAGAAAGTACTGTTTTTTTTTTTTTTTCAAACCATATATATAAACAAACAAACAAATTGGAAGAGGTCTGAAAGTGCAGACGGTAAAGGCATTAAATGTGAAATGGGCCTAGTCACGGTTGGCCAGATCCAAACGAGGCAATCACTATCCCCGGCGCTCATTGGCCCGCCTGCGGTCGCCTGTCCCGATATTAGCACTTAGAATGGTAATGGGAGCACGTAGCCATGGTAACGAATATAATGGCAACGATGAGATCTGGATCACCGAACAAACAACGGCTTAACCGCAGCTGATTGGTCCTCCAATCACAGTGTTTTCTATCTAATATTGAGTCTAACGTTTCTGCTAACGATCCCCGTTCTTCTTCATGTACCTGACCGCCCCCGCGTCTACACTTAGGGGTCATGACTGATACCCTCATGATCCCAGCCACAAGGGGGTAATCACAGCTCCGAGGGGTACCTTCCACTTAGGCTCACCTTGTGTGTTTGTTCCTATATAAGAACAAAAAGTGATGAAGGAGAAGCACTTCCAACAAATAATTATAGGCAAAAATAACGATAATTCAAAGCAAACTTTCATCTCTGCAGAAATCGGAAAGTCCAGAAAAAAAAAAAGAATAAACTAAAAAGTAAAGCCTACATATATGATAGTTCGTTCAGTGTTTGGTAGTAATCATTGGCGGTTGGTTCTACGGAGAGGGGTAGGGGGAGAAAGAGGTTTCTCGGGTTTAAGCCCTCCAAAATGGTAAAATATAATCACGTTTTATTATTAGTGTAATTAAATTTAATAGAATTTCAAGAATCACTTAAACACCATTTCATTTAGGTAGTTAGTTTCTTTATTATTTTAACAAAGTAATTATCATTATCCAATTGAATAAAAATGCTTTATGGTTAAACCCTCCCTCCCTCCCCCCCAAAAAAAAAAATAATTAAATCTTTGATCTGATGGTGGTAGGTAATAAAAAGAGTGAAGTTTTAAATTGACTACTTATTAGTGTTGCCCAAATGCGAGACCGATACGAGTCTTGGTCTTGCAAACTCAGTCTTGGTCATGTTCTTGGTCTTGCGTAAGAGTATCGCAAGATTCTTGCAGTTACATATTGGCTTATTACTGTAAACATATTACTGTAATGTTTTAGATAGGACAAACCTGACTCAGCCCAAATGAAAAATTAGAGGAGTTAAATCAAAAAGTATATTGGGTTATACCAATTATTAACATATAGTAACTAAAATTGTCAAGTATTAGTAACTATTTTGCCTTATTTTTTATTTAAAAAATCGATTTTTTTACCAATCCTGGTCTTGGCCTTGCAACAGTTACGCGTCATTGGTCTTGGTCTTGCAAAGTGCAAGACCAAGACCGATTTTGGGTAACACAACTACTTATAATTGCGAATAGTATTTAAAGCAAATAGTAACATAAAATAAGGATGAAGTGATGGCGGCCTAGTATGATGTGTTTTGATCCCAAATTGACAGTTTCAGAGCACAGTGGGTTCGATTCCTTCCTGGTCGCTTTATACTTATTTCTCGGCTCAGAAATTTTTCAAGAACTTATTCGTACAATTTCTTTGTGAGATTATTCGACCAGGTATTATCTAGGACACCAGGTTTTTCTTTCAATCAAGATTAACCACGTTATAGAATTATGAGTGTGCGCGGAAGGATCTCCCGATCTCAGGGCCAATCCATGACTGATATACCAGAATAAATAATTTTCTAGCCCAGTCGGATAAGAATCCTGGCTAACATTGGAGTTAGGTTTGATAGAAAAAAGTAAGTAGTTATGACCATATTTATTTGTATGCCAGATTCAAAATATAGAAATTAAAAAAAAAAAGTCTAAATGCTAACATTTTAAAGTAAAACATTTGAATGTGATTTTTAGCTAGGCGTTGGAAATTATATTTAATTTTATTTCATCGAAATTACAAAGTCGCTTTCTACTGCTCTTTATATCTTTATCCCAATCAGAACAAATAAAATATTTATTTTATAAAATTAAATGTATTAAAGAGAGAATGATCCAAAAGAAATAATTACATCGATAGTGGAAATGTTGTAATTATAGAAAGGAAACGAAAGGACGGTAAGTTACGGTTTATTATTAGCTCATTCATCGACAAAGGATCCAATAATTAACGGAATCATGGAATCAGTAAGATGACTTGCAGAGGATGCTCTCCGACTGGAACGGAATCAGCACGCGGGCTCTAATTTAAAGATGAAAAGGTCGGGAACCATCCGGATGAATGTTGGAGTCGTAGCATTGGAGCTCCGGAGGAGTAACAATAGGAGACCTTTGTGATAGGCTATAGCGAGGAGGGTAATGAAGTAGGAGTGAGGAAGCAGTTTCTTTATGGGGCAGTATTAGTTGCCGTGTCAGCCACTTAAAGGATGCCCCCCTCTTCATTGTCCCATCATGACTTTACGATAAATTACATTAAAGGAACAATACAGGTAGCTAGCAGGTCATTTATGTTACTAAATGCCTCGGCCCGGCTACCACCGTCCATGGAGCACTTGTTAGCCACGGATTAGCTTCACTGATCGACCGTGACAATTGGATTTCGTTATTGTGCTCCCCTCCAGCACAACACCCGCTCGACAAAACATGGCGGTCGGATAATTAGAACACCCGTTACTTGGTGTCGTCTATTCAAGCAGGCTATTTCACATAATTTCATACCCTCAGTAGGATTTTAGGTAATAAAGTACAAGTATCCACCAGCATTAGGGAACGGTCTTTAGGATTTTGCGAAAACATGCCGTCACGCGTTTGTTATCGTAAGCCGTATTATAATCTGGTTACTATTTCGCGGCCCATTTACTCAAACACATGACAACACTGTTTCAAGGACTTGGTGGAAAACATGTTGGATACGCGCGCAACGATGACTATGAAGCAATCATAAACCTGAAGGAACATATAAACTTATACTATATGCGCTACTGATCGTACAATATACTATGCTGAGGACCCAAAAATATCCCAACATAAAACACTGAAGAAAATATTACTTAAATTACTCATCCGTATAAGGTAAATGAATAGACAACGAAATTTATCATAATCAAATATACATGGTTAATTACTGTATCTTATTTCCTAGTTAACTCAACTACTATTTTTGAGTTCTAAGACTTCCGGAATGAATTCTGCCTTACATTACATATATTCTAGAGATTTCTCATACTAGATATAGACTTTTTACTGCATTGACTATACTTTCTTTGTTTCTTTTAATACAATTTACTCCCCTCCATATAATATATCTTACATTATGATATGTTCCTGAAATTGTTAAAGACCTCTTGCATGTACCTCCGTGTTACTAATGTTAGGAATCACTTCGAATCTCAACTGGCATTTATATAACATTTCTTCCTTGACTTGTTCAGCTTCAATAAACCTATTCCATTCTCGTTCTAATATCATATAAAAAAATATTGCTTGTACCCTTATACAAAATAAATAATTATTTAATAATATATTAAAAATGATTACGAAAAATTAAATTTATTTTTAAGAAATATAAATACTGTACAGCATTTCATTGTTCAGTGCTTAATAATCTACTGAAAATAATTATATTATATTAGTTTAAAACAATAAAATAAGAGATAAGCATATGACTCCATAACTACTGATTAGATATGAAAAATAAAAAATTACCAACTTTGTAAATTATTTTTCGTTCTTGAAAACGCAATATAATGATAAAATACTGTTAAATTGCAATGATTATTTTTAAAGATACATGATTATATTTCCAAATAATTACTTATTATATATTAAAAAAAAATTGGTCGAACTATAAAAAAATTGCGTTATGCAGTTATCAGCAACCGATCGTTGTTAGAGATCAGGTTATATTAGGCGGGTACAATTTGACCAGCGGGTACATGGTTAGAAACTCCTGGTTTATAGTTTAGTACATTTGGATATCATGAGAAGTTTTAAAAATGATTGTAACCTTTCATATACATATATTATTTTTTTAACGTTTATTTATAAAAAAAAAACAACAACATATATATGTATAAAGGAAGGAGATGGTCCGGGGTGGCGGTCATAAAAAGGCTAAATAGTGGTAAAACTATTTTATTTAAAGCCAACGTTTCGATCCGACTTTGCAGGCCTTCTTCAGGGAGGTGTGTTCAGCTAGGAGTTTCACTTAGAACTCACTTCAGTTAGTTCAGCCACCCCGGATCATCTCCTTCCTTTATAATGCTATTAAATATTCAGTATATGTGTATAGTATTAATTATCGTTACAATTACGTATCATTATCAGGATAATGATATAATGATATTATGATAATGATATAATATGATAACTATAGGTAGAGAAGGTTTAGATAGCAATAGGTCTCTGAAATTGACACTCCAATCTATAAACTATAACAGTTACTATAAGAATAATAGGAATAATATTAATTTGAAAATGAAACACAGATAACAAAGGAGATATTTACATTTATGAGATTAAAATACATAAATATTTTACATAAATGTGGTCTGTTAAAAAGGTGACAAATTGGATATTCGGATTTTAGTATTTTTAGATTTATGACATAATTAGCAATATGTCTCTGAAATTGACAGTCCAATCTATAAACTATAACAGTTACTATAAATATAAAAGGAATAATATTAATTTGAAAATGAAACACAGATGGCAAAGGAGATATTTATATTTATGAGATTAAAATACATAAATATTTTACATAAATGTGGTCTGTTAAAAAGGTGACAAATTGGATATTCGGATTTTAGTATTTTTAGATTTATGACATAATTAGGCAATTGAAGGGTAAAAACGGCGAATATGTTACATGCATGTTTGTACTATCTTCTTATAGAATATGTAACTATTTTGAACAACAAATAAATGTGCACTACTCACCAGTAGTGAATTGTTGGTTCTACATAAAACATCGAAGGAGCTTTGATTTCAGGAATTAAATTGCATGTATGATTATTTTTTTGTTTTATATATAAATGTTTTTATTTAATATTATAATTTTGATATTATTTTATTTTATTTATTGTAAATATTGTGTGAATAAATTCTTTTATCACTGTTACTAATGTCTTAAGTTGTGAAAAAATATGTAATATAACTCAATAATGAAGTGAATATAAAAGAAAAAAAAAATCTAATTATTGGCGTACAATAACTTTCACACGGTGTTTTGCTAAAAAAAAACTCATACCTTATGCATATGTGAATATATACCATATAAACAAATAAAACCTAAATATTAGGGACTGATAGTTAGATTTTCTATTCGTATAAGGGATGTTGAACCATAGATTTATTTAAGAAAAATCGATACCTGTAAAAAGAAATAGCTTCGACATAAACGACAACTAATTAAAGTGATTTTTAGGTCCAATAAAACTCTGG